GCGCTAGTAGAGATAAGCTTACTTACTTAGTAGGCTTACTTCCTTATAAACTACGTTAGTAGTATATTATAGGCTTTTAAATTATCTTAAGTTATAGATCTAAAGAGTAAGATTAATTCTGCTTTCTTTATATAATAAGTTAGAGTTATTTTAAGATAGTATTATAATTTATATATAGTATTTACAATGCTAAGAAAAAGTAGCTAGCTTAGTAGTCTAGCTATCTTAGTAGTAAAATACGTTATAGTAATAATAGAAATAAGAGTATATTATTTTATAAGACTAGAGATAAATTATAACTAAGCTATAGTAGTAATTAATAGATATTTATACTTAAGGCTTAGTTAGCTCTAGCCTCTTAGGCCTAAGTTCTAATAGCTTTTAGAATATAAAATAATATTTTATAAAGATTTAGAACTTATAGAGTAATAAGAAAAAGAGGTTTGCTAAGAAAAATTAGCTAGCTTACTAATATAGCTAGCTTACTAATCATTTATATTATAGAAATAGTGTTAGTAGAGTATAAGCCGGAACTGAGCGTGAGCTGAACTAACACGTTATGTCGCTAGGTCTCTTTTCGGTGGGAAGCAATTAATGCTTAAGATCGTTTTGCACACTGACAGCCTCATCGCTCAACGAAGACATGGCTATCCTTTGATCCGCATTCCCGATGTTCAGCTCTTCTCGCGTGAATTCCTCTTTGCGACACGCCTTCGATAACCAGCCCATAACTGCAGCTTGACCCATCATGTCGCAAACGTTGTGCTGCAGACTGATACAGAGTACTAGTCCATCTCTGATGATACCAAGCTGTACCAACATTACAGGCGCTGGATCATCGCCAATGCCAGAAGTCTTCGAAGGACCAAAGGCTGATGATGCTATAGTCGGACAAGGCGCCAGGCAGAGTCGGACAAGGCGCCAGACAGACTCGTCCAGCATCGACATGGGATAGCCGGCCTCCTGCATTTGTGCGAAAGTGGGCAGCTGTGTGTCATTTCTATCGTCCTTGACTGTCAACCTCAGACCCGATTCTAAAGGTTGTATCCTGGAGCTTGGCGTATTACTGAGCCGAGGGCTCGTCTTGACGACCTGCCCTGCAGTCCACGGAAAAGTCGTCGCAACACGGACCATAGTAGATACAATAGCGGTGTGAAGGACTGTTTGTGGCACTTTTAAAACGAAAGCAAGCTGCGTATACAAGGGGAAGAGTGCTGGCTGCGTACCAATCAGGTCTAGCTCTATGTCGAGAGGCATGTTCCCGGCAGAGTGCACTGCACCGTCTAGGCCTTTGATGACGTTTGCCCGTCGATTGTCGAACAACATGAAGATGGTCGTTTGATAGAGGCAGGGCAAGGGAGCAAGGTAATTGCGCCGGAACAACATACAGGGAAGCAACTATTTGTGAGTTGCCTGAGGCGTACATGAGTCCTGGAATGCAGCACGACAGTCGCGGAGGTGCAACCATAGGAGATTAGTATACCACGCAAAGCTCACTGTCTCACTTGGACTCATACGGGACTAGTACGCATACGCCTTCGCGCGTCAGCTAGAGTAACACTGAAGGTATATTTTCTATCAGCAAAAGCCCACGCCATGTCATGGTGTTGTATTAGAGCTTCCGAGTAGCACAAAAGGTTTTCTGCGTTGGGCACTTGTGGATGATATGCCGAGTCACGTTTATCAAGGCTCAATGATTAAGAAGGCGAAGCGATCCGCTACATGCCACAACAGGAATTCGGTTGCTCCACAGCTCGCGTGGAAGCCGGAGGTTCCACTAACCTCTGTGTCGGACTCGGCACGGTTGCTATGTGGGGAAGTGCTTCCTCGGGTGGTACCAGCGCACCGGGGTCTGCAAGGAAAACCGGCAAGATCATCACGGACACCCAAAACGACATGTGATTTGCATCGAAACGTGGACATTTGCGTGTGCTGTGACACCAAAAAATGACTGAATTCGAAAAGGTATCTCGAGACAAAAGTACAGACCATCCTAACCCATGACTTTTTCCTTACTTTTCAACTCGTCCAGAGATGCTTCTGTCGGAGGTCTCTTTCGTTCGCCCACTATACGGCAGTCAAATGCTGCCTTTGACTGTGGATTTTCCTTGTTCAACCGTACAATGTGGTGCAACCTTGTGTAGCCCCCACGAGTTTTGCTTGTGATGGACAAGCCATCAAAAGATGTTGAAAGTGCTCCAGAACGCCCGGGGTCTCATGCCAACCAAGTGGAGACCATTGATGCGTGCAATGGGAAACGCCGCTCCTATGCCGACGCCAGTGCAGAGTGCTTTCTATCAGTGAACCGCCGGGATCGTGGCTCGTCAAGTGCTGTAATCCAAATATGTAGATGGCAAGAAGAATGCTGCTGTTGCTTCCTAAAGTATGACACACTTCGGCTTATCCTTTTGCCGTCTGCCACTGTTGTGTCCACCTCTTCCACGATATCCGTCGTTTGCCCGCAGACAGGTGCCTCCTTGTTGAGGCCAGTGCGTGTGCGTCGGTCTCGTGGATCAGGCTGCACGCGGCCGCCTTGATTGCGTTGTCGCCGCAGTTGTCTCACCACGTCGAAGAAGGCCTTTTCGACGTTGACGCAGTTCTTTGCGGATGCTTCGACAAAGTCGCAGCCCAGGTCCTTGGCTAGGGCCTGACCCTCCTGTGTGGATACTTCGCGCTCGGTGACGCGGTCGCATTTGTTGCCGACGAGCATCACGGGTGCCGAGCCAAACATGGGCATAGTCGCGCTCATGGGCGAGCCGGGATATGTGGGGGATCCACCCATAGCCGTCTCCTTGACGCGCTGGATCTGGCTGTGGAAACGCTGTATGCGGGCAAACGAGGAACGGGAAGAGATGCTGTAGACGAGCACGAAGCCCTCGCCATCACGGATCCATTGGTCTCGTAAGGCAATGTATTCCTCTTGGCCGGCCGTGTCAAGGACTTCGAGCATGCACGACTGGCTGTCGATCTGCACCTGCTTGCGGTACGAGTCCTCAATGGTGGGATCATATGTCTCGACGAAGTGGTTTAGACACAGCTGTCACGGGTGAGCAATGTGGCAGGAGGCAGGGGAGAGAGAAGAAAGGACTGTACATACCTGGATGGTCAGGGCCGTCTTGCCCACACCGCCGTCGCCGAGCACCACCAGCTTGTACAGCGTCATTTTTCCCGCCATGGTGTCGGGCTGGATGCAGAAGCTGTGCAGAGGGGGGGAGAGGGCAGAGAGCGGAACGGACCGTGTGGCGGGGGACTGTTGAGCAGCGAGAAGGCGTCAGGGCCGTCAGAGGGGGTTGTGCAAGGCCGTCGCCAGATCGTGACAGAAGTCGTCTCGTGCGGACTCGCTCGGCAGGTGACCAGGAGGCTCGGGGTCGGGATGAGAGCAGGGCGGGTTGGGTGTCGTGGGCCCAACGTGTCTGTCCCAACTGGCACGGCGACACAGGAGCGCGTGTAGCGGACAGCTGCAGGCGGTGCAGAATCGATGGGGCGGCGCAGAGCTCAGGGTTGCACAGCGGGCGTCGAGGCGGTCGCAGTCGGCTGGTCAGTGCAGAGCAGTGCAACGGCTGAAGCGAGCGGCGGACGGGGCAAGGGCGAGGCGGCGAAGCGAAGCGAGACGAGACGAGACGAGACGAGAGCGGCGAGGCTGCAGCAGGCGAGCGACGGGACAGAAGACTGGACAGAACAGGACAGGCAGGACAGGACAGGCAGGACAGCAGGCAGCGGAGCGGTTTAGGGTGAATGTCGGTCCAGAGGGCAACGCAGCAGCAGTGAGTGGGCGGTGGTCGGGCTCGTGTCCCCACGTGAAAGACGAGGACTGTGCAGCAGCAAGTGCGGATGCAGGCGTGGGTGCAGGGTGCAGGGCAGCAGCGCTATCAAGAAGCTACCGTGTGCGGTCTACCTACCGAATCGACAACGTCTATCAGGACGCGGGCGCATCGACGCGGGCGACGTGGGATGGCGAGGCTGCGGGCGTGGAAGGGCACGATAGCGGCGGTGGTCGGTGGTGGATGAGGGAGGTCAAAAGAAACCTTGAAAGGTGCGACAAATCCGCCTGGGTGGCCCGGGGGTTTTACGGGCGTCCGTGGACCTTGGACCTTGGACCTTGGACCTTGGACCTTGGACATTGGGCGACTCGCTCGCTGGGGCTGCGGGCACACAGCCAAAACCTCACCAGCTGCCTAGTCTTGTCTGGGCCACACTACCCAGACCGCGCAGCAGCCGTGCCCGCCCTCGCTGCATCCGCGCTGTATTGCCGTGCACACACGTATGTAGCCATGTATGTATCTATCTATGTACGCCCTGCAGTTGCAAAACACGCTGTGCTGGCCATTCTCTGTCAATGTCTCTGCCCGCCGTGCGACGTCGCCTGGGGACCAGCGCCGAACAAGCAGCCCATGCAGCAGTGGGCTCGACGCAAGCGGCTGGCTCCGCTACCAACACTGGCGACTGGCGACTGGCGACTGGCGGCTGCACATGATAGCCCTACAGCGTCCATGTATACATCTGGGCGCACCGCGCTCGACATCATGGCCGAATAGTCGTCCATCCATCTAGCATAGTCTCATAACCTCCACGGCGGCGGCATAGTGCCATGCCAGCAGCGACAAGTCGTTCCTCTAGTCTGCATCCACCACCGACTCCACTACCCACCACCACGGTCGTCTCTGCTCTCCCACAGCGCCCGCAGCTTCTGCCCTGATTCGACAGGCCTGGAGGGGATGCGGTTTCTTGCAGTAGTTGCACGCCGGCTCTTCGTCCAGCACTGCTGGTTTTACCCACTCGAGCTAGCTGTCTCCCAAAAGCTTCATAGCGCGGTCCAGGTGCCTGCATCCTGGTGTCGACAAGTCACAGCTGCAGGTCATTTCAAATGCGTCGCTGTCGGCCCTTTGACAGCTCACTGCAAAACACGCTTGCCGTCCACTTCAACTGCACCCCCGCCACTGGTTGCACACAAAGCACTCCGCAGTCGACCGCTCCGAGTGCGCCAAAGTTTCACGTCCTGTCGCGCTTGGGTCGTGCTTCGGGGGAACTTGGACGTGTCCCGCGCGACACCAGCCATGGATCCCGCGGATGCTTGGCATTCATACTGATCCCTTCATTCCGACCCGACGGCAGCAGTCAACCAACCGACGACTTATCCGGTCACTTTTGTGTGGCATCGCCCTCTGCCGTCGGCTGCTCATGTCATGTCAGACGCCTCATCACGCATTGTCCTGCCGCCTTCATTGGCTGCCATGCTGCCTGTAGGATCAAGTGCGTGTCAATCTCTGACCAGCTCGCCTAGCACAAGATGCACGAGCATAACACGGGCTACCGTTGCGTCTCCATGTGCTGACTGGAGTAGTGAGCGGTCCGGGTTTGCGCAGGTCCAACTTCCCCACGCCGCCAGGGAAGGGCTTCTTCGCCTGACCCTGTCCGCAGCAATGTGCGAGCACGTGCCCGCTTCACATAACCACGGCTGCGTCTCTTGGTGGAAAACGCGTTCCACCACGGACGAACCTGATTTGCGATGCCCACCACACGACGCAGCACTAAACGACCAACATCCGGTCATCGAGGAAAGTGGAGCGCGGGCCGTTGCGTCTGACACCGTTCACCGCACTCAAGTCATTCAGCCGGTAGATTAGGCCAATGGATACGCCCTCCTTCCACGGAGCTTGGTAGAATATCGGCTTGGCACATGTTCAGCGGCATGTCTTCAGTCATGTGTTGAGTCGACAGCTAACTTGACATTATCTGGCAGCCGAGCTGCCACGAAGCTCATAAGCAATGCCTGAACTCGCCCTTTTGACATTCGAGGGCGATTACGTTGCAACATATGTACATGTCTGCGTGACTAGAGCTTCGCACGCGCCTCCGTCGCCTTGTGCAGGTCCTTGCCCTTTACCTTGAAATACTCCCTCACTTTCTCTCGCGCCACGTTAACAGCCTCTTGATCCTCGATCGTGCTTGGAACATTGACTTCTTTGTCAAAGTCATCGTGCGTTGCATTCTCAATCAAGTCTCGAAGTACGCGTCGCAGTGTCTTGCCGCTTCTGGTCTTGGGAATCATGCCTTTGCCTTGGATCATACCGCCTGTCGCTCATGTTAGTCAGTCTTCAGTGCCAGCATGTCCCAAAAAACTTGCCAAGAGACGCAATTGCCCCAATTTGCTCGCGTACAAGCTTCTGTACTTCGCTTGCAAACTTTTCATCTGGAATTGCGCCATCGGGGTGGTCAGACGTTGAGAGAGTGATGAATGCGAAAGGAAGGTGGCCCTTGAGGGCGTCCTGCATGGGGTCAGCTTTTAGTTCATGCCATCCAAGGTGCATGTACGTACTGGGATTCCGATCACTGCTGCTTCGGCAATAGATGGGTGTGACGTGATTGCTTGTTCGATGGCACCTGCACAGGTCTTAGTAAGAGTTCTGACTTCTAGCAAAGTCACACACCAGTAGAGAATCGGTGTGCGGCCACGTTGATCACATCGTCCGCCCTAGACATGATGGAGATGTAGCCCTCGTGGTCTATCATGCCCGCATCGCCTGTATCGATCCATTTTCCGTCAAACCTCTTCATATATCCCTTGTAAAAGCGCTCTTCATCTTCCCAGAGTGTCGTGAATGCGGTGGGAGCAAGCGGAATGCCCATCACTATGTTTCCCATGACACCTCGGCTCACTTCCTTGCCTTCGTCATCCACAATACGGACGTCAAAACCCGGCATGGCCTTGCCTGCAGAGCCGGGTTTGATTGGGAGCGGTTTGGGTCTATCCTGTGAAGAAAAATTGAACCCTGCGGTGGCACTTAGGGCTACCCCAGAGATTGGAGATCCACTTTCTGAGGACCACCAGTTGTCGACAACCATAGCACCTGGCGCACAGTGCTTTGTGAGCAGCTTCTGGTACATCTCTACGATACTCGGCTCGCTCCTCTCGCCTGCTAAGAACAGAGCACGAAGCGTCTTCAGCGCGCCCCGCTTCCCTCTGCTTTCGAAGAATTTGTTCTCTCCATCTTCTCTGCGGATAGCTCTTAATGCGGTTGGAGCAGTGAACATGGTTGTGACCTTATACTCTTCGATGATGCGCCAGAATGTGCTCGCATCAGGCGTCCCGATTGGCTTGCCCTCGAACAACACCGTGGTAGCGCCTACCAGAAGCGGTGCATACACTATGTACGAGTGCCCGACCACCCATCCGATATCGCTTGCTGTGAACTGAACGTCTCCGGGGCCGTGGATACCGAAAAGGTACTTCATGGAAAAGTTTAGACCAACTGCATGGCCACCAGCAGAGCGCACAACTCCTTTAGGGAGACCCGTGGTTCCTGATGTGTAGATGATGTAAAGACCATCTCCGCTCTTGATGGAGACTGCATCAGCTTTCAGTCCCCTGTTCCTTGCGCTTTTCGTCAACCGTTGCCAGTTGCGTTGACCATCCTCCTTCCGCACTGGATCCCATCTTAGCTGTTCTCTTTGCCAGATGATCGTTCTGTCGGGCTTATGGCTGCTCTTCTGGACCGCTTCCTCGATCATAGTCTTGTAGCCTGTGGGCTTCTTGTTGCCTTCGATACCACATGATGCAGTCATGATAGCAGTAGGCCGACTCGCGTCGATTCTTTGTGCCAAAGCAGCCGCAGAGAAGCCCCCAAATACAACCGCATGTATGGCACCTAAGCGCGCAATTGCGAGCATTGCGAATAGGGCGGCTGGTATCATGGGCATGTATATCAGCACGACTTCGCCCTTCTTCACTCCCTCCTCTCTCAGTACCCCAGCGAGCGTTTCAACTTCGCTAAGCAACTGGTTGTATGTATATTTCTCTTTCTGTTGCGTCACTGGACTGTCCCAGTAGATTGCGATATTTTCGCCATTGCCGCTTGCCACATGCCGATCAACACAATTATATGTGGTTGATATCTCGCCATCCGCAAACCAGCTCCAGTGCTCGTGCGAAACATTGCTCTTCTTCAGGTGTTTAGTGGACCTTTGAAACGCCTTGGATGGTTTCTTGTGCCAGTGGACGTTTTGTGCTTGGCGGTTCCAGAATGTTTCCGGGTCCGATATAGACGCCTTGTATACTTGATCTTGCATGTGTTCTCGAGGCATGTTTTTTATAAAGTCTGGTCAAAGTAGGGCGACAATTAAAGTGGTCGATGAAGGAATTCTGCTCCGAAATGCAATGTTTAAATGCGCTGCGTGCTCGTCTGTTCGATGAGCGTCTCCTCGGTTCCCGTGGTATTGCTCTTCGAAATGGTGAGTATCCAGTAAAGTTGGGTTCCGTTAACGTGGTCGATGACCTGGTCAATTGTTATTAACAAAGGCAGTGGAAGATACTGAACGGGTGCCGATAGTTGCAGGAAGCTAATGCAGTCATCGAAACTACTTGGGGTCGGTCCAAGGGGTGAGACGATGCCGAGGATGTCCAGCCTGTCTCCGGGGGATGATGCGGGTGACAGCCACTAGTGCTTTGCGGGGAAGATACCCGCTTTTATCATCGCGGGTTTAGAGCTAGGTATTCGCAATGGTGATGCGAACCTTTCGAAGGGCATCGGTGCAAATTCAATTTTTGTCAGTCCTTTGTGACCGCGATAGTAGGGTTGCGTTGCAGAATTCCGTGCATCAGGCTGGGGTGCTGCCCTTCCCCTCACCAGACACGGTAGCATTCCCACCGCGAGCTTCACTATGGCAAGTGCGCATGGTATCAATGCGATTTCAGTCTACAATTCGGTTCTCGCTAAAGTAGTATCGGGTGTATACTGCGTCGAGGCTTCGCGACGAATGTCAACACCTGGGCAGTCTGTCCTCTGTTTACTAGATGCCTGTCGTACTCAACATCGTGACATTCCACCTCCAGTGTGACCAATCTAAATTTGGCAATGTCTTCATGAACCTACCTTGTCTTGCAATCGCTCTGATTTTGTGCGGGCTCCAAGATACTTCGACGCAGGCAAAATCCAGCGATACGTATCTCCACCGTCATGTGCTCAGCATACTTCATCACAATAAAATTGCTCAAAATTACTGTCATGTATAGTTCAGGTCGCGAGCATTGAGATGCTATGATTTGAGGTAATTCTAAAGTGTTGTTGTTGTTTCGTGAATTTTCGATCTATTTCGTGTTCAACTTCTCATCCACAAAATGGTGGGAGAGTAAACATCGGAACTCACGAAACACTGATGCCGAGATCACAACCAACATCAAACAAGCATACCAGAGCACATAATACGCATAATGCGACAACATCGATTATAATTTTTTCTTTTTGCCAATGTTTAAGAACCACAGAAGAAGTAGCGCAGTAGTCATCTGTCTACGAGATGCCTGTCGGGGCCGAGGAGCTCAACCTCTTGGTCTCGCAGGCGTCCGAAACATCAATACCGAGTTTCTCAGCGACAGTGATGAAGCCTTTACTGCCGTCCTTGATGCTCACCCATAAATCGACCCAGCCCTCTGACCTTGCCTTCTCCACTTCGTCATCACTCCAGTCCTCCTCACCCGGTCGTTCAACGTAGACAGTCTGCAACCCGTTCCCTTTCGCCGCCTTGAGGTCGTTCAGATGAGCTGCAACCATGACACATTCCACAGGAGGCAAATCGAGCTTCTCAACAGCTCCGAGATAGACCTTGGGCGATGGCTTGTAAGTGCCAAACAGCTCAGCGGAGAATATATGCGTGAATGGGATACCACTTGACATGCGAAGGTCCCCAAGAAGACTCATGTTACCGTTGGAGAGTGTGCATGTGTCTGTATTTTTCAGCGGAGCCATCAAGAACGAAGGCACAGGACTTACAAAACAGCCGGTTCAGGAGTGCAACGCCCATTGCCGAATCAGCCCATGGCTCCAGACGATGCCAGACCAAGCTGAGCTGTCGCAGCTGCTGGTCATCCCAAAGTCCCTCAAGCCTCCATTCAGCGATAAGATGTCTTAGCGACCTCAGATGGTGCTCATCGATCGATACCCACGAGCTCGCGGGATCTGCGGCGGATTGTCGCGTGAACTGCTTGTAGCTGTCGCGCCATTGCTGAGCGAACAGACGCCAATGGTCCATGGTCATGTCTGATGCCATAAGTCGCACCCTAGAAGCCAGAGATGCCGTTGCTGAGATTGAGGACAGCATGTGATTGGGCATGTAGTTCACTGACTACAGTCGTGCGCCAGTCGACACAAGTGCCGAAGACGTCCAAAAAAGAGCGCTCGGCGGGGTGGGCTTCAAAGCCATGGTTATGCCAGAGATGAGCTTTGGGGGAGTCCTGGGCACCGGTACGGGGGTTGGAGAGGAGAGGTCATTTTGTATCGGTCGTAGGGGCAATCCTGCCATGAGGGGCGGATACGTCAGAGGACCGAGAGTCGGAAAAGCGAGGGTGCAGCGGAAATGCAGCACGACAAAAATACAACGATCGGCATGAAGAGTGCATCACGGGAACGGCAGTCAATATGCCCCACGACTCTCGTGGTTGCAGCTGAGATTTTCAGGCACACGTTCTGAAAGCGGTAGTCACACTGCAACAAAGGAGCTTGCAACAAGTACAAAGAGAAGTTGCCCTGGGACCACTCTAGGCAGCATTGTGGAGTTGGTGATGAGTCACGAAACCCGTTTGCCTGGAGGAGCCAACAGTAACAACGGGTGCATAGAGTTGGGAGGTGTAATACATAGGCTAACGCAAGCTTGAGCTGACCATACTCAAGCAGCACGTGCTAGCGGGAAATACAGCGACATGACATACGACATGACTCACAGCAGAAGAGGGCAATTGATGAAGAATTATGGTATCATTCCATGAAAACAATCCTGATGAGACTGATGTGACCGTGAACTCCGAAGCCTACTATACAAGGCCATGACCCCTAACCATCCCGCCGAGCACCAAAGCCTGCCGTGAACCGATGAGGCGGCAAAGTCGTAACATGAAAACCGTGAATGAAATGCGCTTAACCACCGAAACCGTAGAGAGTCCTTCCTTGACGCTTGAGGGCGTAGACAACGTCGAGCGAAGTGACGGTCTTGCGCTTGGCGTGCTCGGTGTAGGTGACGGCGTCACGGATGACACCCTCGAGGAAGGTCTTGAGAACACCGCGGGTCTCCTCGTAGATCATGGCTGAGATACGCTTGACACCACCACGACGAGCGAGACGGCGGATAGCGGGCTTGGTGATACCCTGGATGTTGTCGCGGAGAATCTTGCGGTGACGCTTGGCTCCACCCTTGCCGAGACCCTTGCCACCTTTGCCGCCTGTGAGACGCGTCAGTATGGAGTTGATGAAGATGCAGAAGCAAGACGCGCTGTGGTAGACGCGTCAAGCTGGTGATTATGTGATTATGGGGAAGCAACTTACGTCCAGTCATGTTGAAGTGTGGGGGTGTTTGGGAGGAAGATGTGTGGTGGGGATAGTTGTTTGTGGTGTTGAGGCTGAAGAGTTGCTTGGTGTTGTGATGAACTTGAGTGGATGGGGCGGTGGGTGTATTTGAGGCGAGCAGGCGCGTGCGGCAGTCGCGTCGGATCACACGCCTGCGTGGTGGCCAAGCTGGATCACCGTCGTGCACGGGCGCGCTTTCCAGATCAACAACCGTGCCACTTCCTGTTTCGGCAACGGCCCTAGCGAGCCAATGGGCGGGGCGGGGCGAGACTTGCCTAGTTTGAAGTTCGCGGTGAGTGCTGGGTAGCAAAATCACCCTTTAGATGTTCCTGCTGATTCTGAGCCCGCTGATGGAATTTGAATTCTCCCGGTAGCCCACCCGCCCCCGATTTGATAAATAACTCAGCCCGGCTCGGCTCCCTTCCCTCTTTGATTCA